GAGAGCATCGATATGCAGGACACTCAGGACCCAGAGGTCGAGGGGGGCGAGGCTCAAATCCTCATCGCCGGTTTTAAGTAGTTTTGGCGTAGTGGAATCGCCATATTTTTAGAGGCCCCCCATGTAATATATGTGCCACACCGGTGCTCGATCCCGATCTCGGCCTCGAGGTCGGCGCATCGAGTACCGGGGGATACGTGGTATCCCGAGGTGCAGTGGCCTGCGGACCATTGCATCTGACCCGACCTCCTAGTATATATAGCTGGCTCTCACCTAGGTGCTAACTCACTCAAGTTAAGATTCGTTCTTAGTGCTCTGGTTGCTACGTGCATTTACTCTTTGTTGTTTTTTTTGTAATTATTCTCATCGTTCTCATTTGTTTGATAAAAATATCGTCTTCATATTCGTTTTTTTAACAGACATTATATTACGCAACTATATAAGTTTTAATCGGGCTCGATTAAAAACGAAACTATCCACTAGACGCTTAAAGTTACATTGACTGTTATAGAAAAATGCACAAAAAGTGTGATTTCCAAGGAGAGAGTTGAACTTATTAGTAGTTTTCAGAAATTAGCAGTGTTTTTCTTCGCCCACTTTGTGTATAGTGTTATTTGGTGTTTGCAAACCCATTAAATACAAAAAACACCAAGAAAAACTAAAAATCGAGAAAAACAACTGATGAGAGGGATGCGGTCCAGCGTTGAGCCGCGTTGTCCCACGCGACCAAAAAACCGTGGCTCACCGTTGAGCCGCGCTGTCGTCAAAGGGTTAAGTAGTCTAACATAGATTCACTGGTTCGGTAGAATTACAGGAGAGAAAGAGAACTGAGAGAAATTCCCCTACTAAGAAAATGATTGGTCATCGTGGTTCTGTTTAAGATTTGCGAATCCTCCTTCCCCTCTTGACAATGTGATGGTTCGCTGTTTGGCGAATATGTGGATAGCTGGTGCGGTAAGTGGGTTTTCATTGGAGAGCTAGTGTAATTGAATGTTGCTATGACGTGCTGCTTACAGCGATCCATCTATGACGGTGTGATGAAGTTGTTCACACAGATTTCAATTGAATCGAGCAATCGTGTCTATTCGCAAGAGCCAGTGTCTGCAGGAGAACATCGATATGCGTAAGTGCCGTTTTGACTTCTTTTACTTGCGCATAGTACATGATTTGATGATGATACGAGGAGCTTTCCAGAATTTTATGACATCAAGGGTCAGCAGGACGATCATGATCGGGATAGTTCTGAATCAAAGTCGTTGGTACCGATAGACCAGACCATCACACACCGCAGAAATTTTTAGTGGTTGGCTCTACCGGAAGTAATTCCCCTGAACCTTTTGGCTGACCTCTCGAGTTTAGTATCAACCTGAGGTGCTGGTGTGAGATTTGCCTTTTTGGAGCCTGCAAAGTTAAAAACGGGTAGTAGATCATCCATCCTATTTCTCTGGACCTCCGGCCAGAAATGGCTAATACCAACCTTGAGAAGCTCTTCTAGGTGTTCTACGCTGTAAACTTCACTTTTTCGCTCTAACATCTGAATATAGACTCATACCACCACATATTGGAACGCTACAAAGAAAAACCTACAGATCAGGGTGCATACGGGATTTCCGTTTCCTACCCTCTTTATCGTCCGTGGTTCCCTTTACTCAGAACTGATCTGGTGACTTGAGTGGTAGCTGGACCAGTCTCTTCAAGTATGTGGGTTTCTCCTGCTATGAAAGACTCTATGAAAGTTACTCTGTGAGAAGGCATTGAACAGCACAAATAAATCATTTTAGGATATTTTATGTCCACCCTCGTAGGTCAGCTTCTAATAGTTCAGGCATGTTTCGTTGAGCGTGGACACAGCATTAGGCCGTATGGCTGATGGGGTGGCTGAAGGTGAAGATCAGCAGGCGCTACTTGTGCGGCTACTTGAACTGTTCGTCCAGCTTGGTATTGAAGGACGACGTATTGGAGAGAAAGTGTCTAAAAGCACAGTCAAGGTGATTTTTCGATGTTCCATTCTTGATTCTACTCGTTCTGTTTAACCCACATGTTATCTTTCCATAAGGATGTCAATGACTCCAATACAGTCTGTAATTCGTGAAAATTCTCAGTACAAAGATTCCTAACTTTTTTTGGAATTTCATGTCTACCGATCGGATCGCGTGGCTGGCTGCTTCCATAGTCCGCCGGCGAGCGGGCGTGCCGACGTGCCAGCCGAGGCAGTGCTAGGGGGGAGGAGGGAGGCAGACCGTCGGTTGACGCGGTGGCGTCGCGTCCAAGATCCTTCGAAGGGCTGTAAACAAAGAGAGACAGGATCAAAAACCATTTGTACAAGCCCCTGGTTGTTTGGTTCTTGACCTTGTTTTTCTTTGTTTTAAGCCCTTCGACCGACCGTCTGCCTCCCTTCTCCCCCCTAGCACTGCCTCAGCTGACACGCCGGCCGGCCGGCGGACTATGAAAGCAGCCGCCGGGCCGTCCTCCTCGTGTACATTTGGCATGCCACCCACGTCCGTCCCAAATTCGTACGCTCTGTTACAGAAGAACAGGAACTATAATAAACTTACGACCAAACGCACACATACACCCACTTCGCGAGTGCTGTTTCTCTGAGTGGAATCGGTTGTGTATGGAAATGAACTGATAAGAGTATCGTATCGTAGGCACCTACTCTATATAAGCCTAACTCGAGTAGGGTTAGACACTCCTTCTTCTACTTTTCCTTTTTGCTCACGACTACAATAAACCGGTCGTCTCACTGGAGTGTAAGGACACAACAACTGGCGATCAATGAGCCGAAGAATGGATCAACCGCAGCTGATGGCATTCTTCAAGGACCTGCTTGAAGAACAGCGAAGGCAGCACAAAGAACTGGTTCAGATGCTCTTGCACCGTGTGGAAGATGGAGCTGGAGACCGAGCCAGGACTGAAGAAGTTTCAACGCCGAACGTGATGGCCGCATTGAGTAACCGGATCGAAAAGTTTGTGTTCGATGCCGACTTGGATGGGATTCTTCAGATGGTACTCAAGGTACAAGGAAGTGTTCACAGAAGATGCACGACAACTTCCTAAGGCGGCAAGGGTGAGACTTCTTTGTGAAAAACGTGATAGTGTTACTTTTGGGAAGTACCAGCGACACGTGTTACCCAAGAAACTGTCGACTATCTGAGCCACTTGTTCGACTTAAAATCATCCGAGTTCACAACCAAATACCAATGTTTGGAGCTTGAGAAGAGCGACCACGAAGACTACCTTGCCTATACAGGTAGAGTGAACGAATTTTGTGAGAAAGCAAACTTCATGACTTAGATTCGGACGGTATAAAGTGCTTGCTTTGGATATTCGGTCTGAATTCTAAGTCAGAAGCAGAAATTCGGCAACGCCTCATCGCAATACTCGACAGAGAGTATAAAGCAGGTCGAAAAATTCCTTTACACGAGTTATACCAAGAATGTGAGAATTTTCTGAATCCCAAAAGAGATTGTGAAGCTATCGCCGGAGATGTCAAAGCCGTCAAAGAAACAGTGAAAGAAGATCCAAAGCTCATTGTCTGTTGGAACTGTGAAGGAAAGCACTACGCCAGAGAATGTAAAAAGAAGTTGTGGTTCTGCAAAAAGTGTTGGACAAGTGGCCACAGAGAGAAATTCTGCGAAGTTGCATATCAGAAGGGAACAGCTAAGCGTAGTAGGACTTCAAAAAGGAGTCATCACCGCAACGACAAAAAGAAGCATTCGAAGCAAGATACCAAGAGACATGTTCGGTGTTCAAAGATTTCAAATGCGTCTGCAAATGTTAGCACTACAAGGATGTACGTCGAGGTAGTTGTGAACAAGCATTCAGTTGGATTCCTACTGGATACGGGATCAGACATAACGTTACTAAATGAAGATGTCTGGAAGAAAATGGGATTCCCGAAGCTGGAAAAGACAAACATTACTGTGAAAAATGCCAGCGGTGATCGCATGAAGATCCGAGGAAAACTAAAGTGTACAATTGAAATGAAAGGCAGCAAAAGTGTAGGATACGCCTACGGGGCACCGTATCACTCGTAAATGGGACTCGAGTGGATACAAAGCAACGAAGAGATGCAGCATCACTTGGAAATGATGGTTGCAGAGATCGAAACAAAACGAAGCTCCCACGAGGAAAAAAGCTGAAGAAAAAGTATGCTGACGTATTCAGCGAAGGTCTTGGACTCTGCACGAAAGAAAAAGCAGACCTTATACCCCTACCCAATACTCGCCCCGTACTCCGTTGTTGTCGTCCCGTTGCCTACGCTGCCCTAGAGTCCGTCGAAAACGAACTCAACAGACTTCAAGAAATGGGTGATATCACTCTGGTGAGCCATAGCGAATGGGCTGCATCAATCGTATGTGCCAAGAAACCAAATGGAAAAATCAGAGTATGCGTTGACTTTTCGACTGCACTTGACAAAGCCCTACGGTCTTTCGACTATCCCCTCCCCACCCCCGAAGATGTTTTTGCGTCCTTGAATGGAGGAACCGTTTTTTCCCAAATAGACCTTTCCGATGCCTACCTCCAGATAGAGCTATCAGAAGAATCTAAGAGGAAGGCAGTGATCAACACGCACAAAGGATTGTCTCAGTACAATCGTCTGCCGTTGGGGATCAAGACAGCACCCGGAATTTTCCAACAAATCATGAACAAAATGGTAGCAGGCCTCATGGAGTTACAACATATCTAGATGATATCCTAGTATGTGGAACGACTGAAGAAGAACATAACAGGAATGTTCTATCGTTGTTCGAAAGGATCGCTGAATATGGATTCAAAGTACGCATGGGCAAATGTTCTTTTGCAAAGTCCGAAATTTGCTATCTTGGGTTTATCGTTGACAAAAATGGTAGGAGGCCGAACCCTCAAAAAGTGGAAGCCATCAAGAACATGGCTGAACCGAAAGACGTCAAGCAACTACGCGCATTCCTAGGAATGGTGAAATACTACTCAGCGTTCATGCCGTCCATGAAAAGTTTACGTGGACCGTTAGACGCATTACTGAAGAAAGACGTAAAGTGGAAGTGGACATCTATGCAACACGATGCATTCGAGAACTTGAAATCAGCATTGTCCAGCGATCTAAACCTTGCCCACTACGACCCCAAGGAGAAGATCGTTATAGCCGCAGATGCATGCGAGTGCGGAATTGGATGCGTGATCTCGCACAGATATGCCAATGGTACTGAAAAACCGATAGCACGCTTCTCGTTCGCTTTCTGATGCGGAAAGGAACTATTCACAAATTGAGAAAGAAGCACTTGGATTGGTATTCGCGGTAAAGAAGTTTCTCAAGTACATTTTTGGAAGGAAATTCCTACTGCTAGCAGACCACAAACCGCTGCTGGCGATATTCGGTGACAAGAAAGGAATTCCTGTGTACTCCGCTAATCGACTAATGAGATGGGCAACTATCCTGTTGGGGTACGATTTTGACATTTAATATGTTAACACGACAAACTTCGGTCAAGTCGACGGACTGTCAAGACTCATGCAAAAATACCCCACTAAAGAAGAAGATATGGTGATAGCGGCAGTAGAGAGTGATGTATCAGAGCAGCATGAGAAACTGCATTAACAAGTTACCACTAACTCACCAAGATGTCAAGCTCTGCACGGAACAAGACCCACTGCTAAGAAGAATCAAGTCATTGATCAAGCATGGGAAATGGCCAAAGAACGATCATAAGTGGTCTCCATTCCAGGCAGGAAAGGAGACTTTATCGCCCGTCCAAGGATGTCTTATGACTGGAGAAAGGGTCACTATTCCAACAAAGCTACGGAGCAGAGTGTTAAAGGAGCTACACCTTGGTCACCCCGGCATCGTAAGAATGAAGAAAATAGCCCGAAGCTATGTATACTGGCCTAACATCGACAAGGATTGCGAAACCGTCGTACGGATCTGTTCCAGGTGTCAAGAAAACGCGAAAACCCTATCAAAGCGACGTTGAAACCTTGGCCAAGAGCTACGTATGCATGGCAAAGAATTCATGTGGACTTCGTTGGACAAATGGATGGACGTTATTACCTGGTCGTGGTCGACGCGTTCAGCAAATGGCCGGAAGTGACGGAATTGACCACCATCTCTGCGACTCGAACAGTAAATGATCTCAAGAAAATTTTTGCGAGATACGGTTTTCCGCAAAAAATCGTGAGCGATAATGGAAGTCAGTTTCAATCAGAGCTCTTCAAGAAGATGTGTGATGAGGGAAGAATTGCACATATCAACGGCCCCTTACCATCCTCAATCAAATGGACAAGCTGAAAGGTTTGTCGATACGCTGAAACGAGGTATCAACAAACTCAGAGGGGAAGGAAGACCTCCCGAAGATATGTTGAACACCATCCTGCAAGCCTATAGGATCACACCAAACAGCTGCTCAAAAGAGAAGACTCCGGCAGAGCTGTTTCTCGGAAGAAAAATTCGTACTCGACTCAGCATGCTGATGCCAATGCCGGTAGGCACAGATGATCCCTTCTCAGAACAAAGGCGAGAGTACATGAAACAGCAGTTTGACAGAAGACATGGTGCGACTAAAAGGAACTTTGCCGTTGGAGAAGCCGTTTATGCTCGACAATGGAAATCATCAAAATTCGTCTGGGAAAAAGGCACAATCAAAAGGTGCCTCGGATCAATAAATTAGGTGAAGTAAACGAAGTGGATGTGAATGGAAAATTGGTGAAGAAACACGTAAATCAACTCAAACGTCGTCATGTAGACAAACCGACAAGTAACAGAAGTTCGATGTTGAAAACGCTACTGGATATATTTGATCTTCGCGACGATCAGCAGATACCTACAGAGAAATCAACAGACCAGTCTGCGACTGTTGAGGCAGAGAAAATGGATATCCAGACAAGTGGAGATCGACGACGTACACCGAGTCCGGAACCACCACCACCGTTAAGAAGATCAATACGAACGAGAAGACCTGTTGAGTGATATGGGATTTCTCGTGTGTAGTTTGCTCTGTTAAGGATACTATGGCACCTACCTTAAATTGTAACCTAGTAGAAACAAAGTACTTTTCTACTGGGGGAGGTGTTGTGTATAGAAATGAACTGATATGAGTATCGTATCGTAGGCACCTACTCTATATAAGCCTAACTCGAGTAGGATTAGACACTTCTTCTACTACTCCTTTTTGCTCCCGACTACAATAAACCGGTCGTCTCACTGGAGTGTAAGGACACAACAGAATCCTCCTCAAGCCATGTATGTTTAAGTTACTCGGTTCATTGCCCTCTTCTATCAACTTCAGTCATACTCCCTGCCATCAGCATTCCCGCACTGCCGCCTGTGCCCCTATCAAACGTGGCGCCCCAGGTCCAAGTTAACAGTTTTCTACGCACTGGTCAACCACACACACGGACCCACACATACTGCACAAACATACACCACGACATACTCCCGCCCACACAGACGCACATACATTGCGCACACACACTGACATACCGGCAAACCAAAAGATACACCGGAAAATCAACAGCACACTTAATGGGTTATTTAAATACCAGTCGGATCACCCGGCTCACGCCCGGCCTCATTTCTTACTTTCACTTAGAAACTGTAATTAGAGGAAGGCATCACTTTTATCCAACACCTAGAGCTAGAGGGCAAGGAAGGAGTAGTAGTCCACCATGCCTGTGCATGGGGACGGTTCTAGGTGTAATGATACAGTTTTCACCCAAGCTTCAGGAGCGAGAGAGCCCCAGAAGGTGGGGTTAGATACGTCATGCAAAAAGTTAGGATGGGGTGTGAGTTGAATATTAAACCGGCTCATCCACCTCGGTGCGGCTTCGCTCCTGATGTTTAGATCGAAAAACCGCATATTTTTAGCTAAAAAGGAAAGGGAACTAGGTTGCAGTGGCCATTCAAAATGAGATGTATGCCGAAGTAAGTGCTATCAAACGCTGATCTCAATCTCTTCAGAATCGCCAAACGCCTAACACCTTAAATGTACTCCCTCCCCTCTTTTACGCATCATATAGAACACCACATACAGCCCCTCTCCATGTTTAGGGAACCCCAGAACTGCTTGTACGAGTAAGTTTTTTCATTGCCTTGAAGACCTAATAAGAGTGCACGTATGCTGTATTTCGAGCACTCAAAATATGGTTACGAGATTCATCAGAAACTTGTACTGAACCGGGTTAGATCGTGCTTTGGATCAACACGTATATATATATATATATATATATATATATATATATACGTGTTGATCCAAAGCACGATCTAACCCGGTTCAGTACAAGTTTCTGATGAATCTCGTAACCATATTT